ACTTAAAAATCTTCTTTTAAAGAACCAAAAGAGCTAGAGCTAAGATATTTAGCATGAAACATGTTCTAAAGGGTGTCTACAAAGTTTGTTCAAATAAAAGCCCTTGGGTCAAAATTGGCCACGCCCCGGGGGTCATTGATTTTCCTTATATGTGTATTGCAAAAACTTAAAAAGTCTTCTTTGAAAAAATCCAAATAGCTAGTGTTTAGATATTAAGCATGAAACATCTTCTAGTGAGTGTCTACAAAGTTTGTTCAAATAAAAGCCCTGGGGTCAAAATTGGCCCCTCCCCGGGGGTCATTGATTTTCCTTATATGTGTATGACAAAAACTTAAAAATCTTCTTTGAAAAAACCCAAATAGCTAGATTTTAGATATTAAGTATGAAACATCTTCTAGTAAGTGTCTACAAAGTTTGTTCAAATAAAAGCCCTGGGGTCAAAACTGGCCCTGCCCCAGAGGTGTCATTGTTTTTAATTATATGTGTATAGTAAAAACTTAAAAAATCTTCTTTTAAAAAACCAAATGAGCTAGAGGTAAGATGTATGATGTTTAACATGAAACATCTTGTGGGTGTCTACCAAGTTTGTTCAAATAAAAGCCCTTGGGTTAAAATTGGCCCTGCCGGGGGGTGCAAAGGTCATTGTTTTACATTATATGTGTGTAGTAAAAACTTAACATCATGAAACATCTTCTAATAGGTGTCTTCAAAATTTGTTCAAATAAAAGCCCTGGGGTTAAAACTGGCCCGTCTCCGGGGGCCTATATACAGGTGAACGACCTCGAGCCACCATAGCCCTCTTGTTTTAATTTGTTTTGATTTATTGTGTTCCAAAACATATTATTCACAAGTCCAATTAATAAAGGAATGGCAAAAATGAATTATATGCTAATTTGTATGCAATGTTTAATACAGTGTATAGTAAATTGCTATACAAAATGTTTACATTATGTTATGATGCTTTCCCATTCCTCATTGAATCATTTATTGTGATATCATGTAACCAACGCTGAAAAGCTTTTTACTCTATCTCAATCCATTTAATATTCTTTTGTTAACAATAAAAGTGTTCAGCGCGGTATGGCCAGTTATGTGTATATGTGCCGTTAAAACCCAAACAAACGAACTAAAAACAAACAATCATATATTACAATGAATGAATCAATAAATGGAATGTTGTTGTTTGTGACAGCATCTGCCGGAAAATCATTCATTGACAAAATAACACATACATTTTCTTACTTTTTAATAGAATTTACCAGATGAATTAATTGTTGGAATCTAATTTGAAATTGAAGCGTACGTTTTCGCTTGTTTCACGTCATCATTTTATTCTGTCTAATTCCACATGAACATACATTAAGCTTCTTTTTTTAAAAACTTTGTTCACTAGGACTGTGTTGTAGTGCCGTAAAACCCTTCCACCTGGCTATATATTTTAAAGTAAAGTATTTCATTACATCAAAATCAACAATAAGTAATAAAGTTAAACACTTTGTTTATGATGTGATGGATACGGATTTTATTGTTTATTAAATTTATTTTGATTTATCGTTCTTCAAACTATACCAGTGTTCCCCATGTAACATCACCTTTACTAAGTGTACTAAATGCCAAGGGTTCGAGCATATTTCTCGCAGCTGTATGAATCACTAACAGTGATTCTTTTTCAGGAAGGAATATGTCTTCTGATAATAAAAATGTTTATACAAACAAAAATGATAGAAAATGGAAAGATCAACAAAAGTATGGCTAACATACATGCATATTTTAAAGATAATGTAAGTTAGTTACTTATTTCATATGGGCGTCTTTTTAACGCCTATTCCTCCCCTTTCCAGACCTCAAATAGTTAAAAATGCTGTATTTAGACCCCAAACACTTGTTTTTGTTTGAGAAAATGTGTAAAAGGTGTTAGTGTTCGTCGCGGTATGGCTAGTTATGTGTCTATGTGCCGTTAAAACCCAAACAAACAAAGAAGAAACAATCGTATATTACAATGAATAAATCAATAAATGTAATGTTGTTGTTTGTGACAGTATCTGCCGGAAAATCATTCATTGACAAAATAACACATACATTTTCTTACTTTTTAATAGAATTTACCAGATGAATTAATTGTTGGAATCTAATTTGAAATGGAAGCGTACGTTTTCGCTTGTTTCACGTCATCATTTTATTCTGTCTAATTCCACATGAACATACATTAAGCTTCATTTTTATAAACGTTATTCACTAGAACTGTGTTGTAGTGCCGTAAACCCATTCCACCAGGATATATATTTTATTATAAGTAGAGTATTTCATTAAATCATGACAGGCCAAAATCAACACTAAGTAATAAAGTAAAAAATTTGGCCTATGTTATTTTGGATGCCAAACTTTTTTGACTGGATACGGATTTTATCGTTCATTAAATTTATTTTGATTTATCGTTTTACAAAACATATTATTCACAAGTCCAATTGATAAGGTATGGCAAAAATGAATTATCTGTTACTTTGTATGCCATGATTGATAAAGTGTATATTAAAAAATTGCTATACAAAATGTTTACATTATGTCATTCCTCACTGAATCATTCATTGAAATATCGTAGGCACAATTACACTATGTCATACTCTTTCTAAACAAATTAACCTGATAAATTAATTTAATTATTGGAATTGAATTTGAAATTAAAGTGTACAGTTTTTCATTGTTTCACATCATAGATTTATACTGTCTTATACCTCATGAACATACATAAAGCTTCATTTTGAAAACGTTATTCACTAGAACTGTTGTTGGTGTGCCGTAAAACCAACCAAACAAACTCAATCGACTATGAGGCCTTATGTCATTCAGTTGATTTAAAGTTGATGTTGGCATGCAGTGATGTCATCGACCGGACGCATATTATACTTCCTTAATGCATATTATTCGCAAGTCCAAATAATAAAGGTATGGCAAAAATGAATTGCATGATACTTTGTATGCCATGTTTAATTAGTGTATATTAAATTGCTATACAAAATGTTTACATTATGTTATGATGCTTTCTCATTCCTCACTGAATCATTCATTGTTATATCGTCGACAAAATTACACAATTTAATATAGGTTAGCCTCAGGGCTTTTCAGTTTAAAATGTGCAGATAATTTGCTCTGAAGTTTTTCTGAAAAATATGTAGTTTTTAGTGATTCAATAGTATTATTTTTTATATCAAATGGAAATTTAAAATATAGTGCATGAGATGATGAAATATAGTGAAAAATAAATAAAGATTTATGGAGATATTTGAGAAAGAAAATGTTTCCATTGTTTGAAATCATATGCTTTTGGGATTATATACATGGTGTAAGACTTGATTTTACCTGGATTTTTACCTGTGATTGTAAGGATTATAAACTAATTGAGCTGGATTAAGTTGGAAATAGCAAAACATACACAATGTCAGGTAAAGGTCAGGGATCAGGTCAAGGCAGTAGGGACAATGTAAACAATAGTAAGTCAAAAACAGTGACAAAGGGGACAAAACAACCTCCAGCCAAAAGACCTATATCAGGTAAGCAATGACAGTACCTTAAGCAACGAAAGTATGAACATGACTTTGATACAAAATCAATTAGATATTATGACAGAAAATCTAGGAGGATTAAAAGGTGATTTACAACACTTGATAAAGAAGAAAGATATAGAACTTATAGTGTCAAAATTAATTACAAGTGCAATCAGTGCACTGCAAAAGAATATAAAAAGCATGGTAAAAGCTGAAGTAATTGAAAAAACAAGAGAGATAAATGAAAAAATCACCTCGCTAGAATTTGATAATCAAAGCTTAAGGGAGAGACTTATGAAAGAAAATAATTACACAACCAGAAGAGTGGATGAAATTGAAGACAGATTGAAAAAAATGAAACTGAAGTGAAAGATGCTACCAAAAGATCAAATTATAATGATCAATATTCAAGAAAAAATAACATAAAAATACTTAATACATGTATCCCAGAAAATAATCGTGGAATCATTGACAGATTAAGTTATAATAACCATACTGAAACAAAAAGAAGGGAATCTTGAAAGAAGGGAAATAACTGCAATTCATACAATTCCAACATTTAAGAAGCATGAAAGCAGAGCTGTATTATAACAAACTTTAAACAATGATGTTAAGTCAAGAATAATGCGAAAAATGAAAATAATGAAGGAAGCTGGGTACAAACTTGTCGACGACATACAACATTGAATTCTGGATTAATAAATCGTCTACTTCATCCAAACATAGTGAGTGCATGGTTTTTCAATGGTTCTGTATATGGGCTTACAACAATGGAAGAAAGAATAAAGTTTGACATTTTTGACAATATAGATAAAGTGATTAAGTTTTACAGAGAGAAGAGAAGAACTGGCAGGACAACACCAAGGTAAGTCACGTGATCAAGGTGTAAACAGGTGTTTTTCCTGGTTCTTGAAAAAGATGAAAATTTGTTCAATTTTTGGATGTTAAAGATATAATATGTAGTAAACTTTTGTAAATGTGTAATCAGTGTGTTTTAGTGTTGTTTGGGCAATTTTTTTGTTCTAAATGGGTGGTAATAAGAGGAATAAAAAAGGAAACATAGTGACAATTCAGTGAAAGATGAGCGAAAATCAGGTAGATATACACAATCACCAGAAGATATAAATACCGTGAGTAACATTTTGAAAGAAGCAAATTCAGTATCATATAGTGATGAAAATAGTATTTCTCTTGATTTGAACAATTTATTTGATGATATTTCAACGCAAGATATAACAGCCTTATCAATCCAGTCCGAGCTCCCGGTGAACAGTGAAACAATGGCGGGCAGTTCTCCATCTAACTCTGATATCATGAAATGCCTTGAAAAAGTAAACACGAGACTGGGAAATGTTGAATCAAAATTAACATGTTTGCAATCTCTGGAGAAAAAAAAAATTATGACAAAGATTTAGTTAAACTTTGGATCAAAATGACTAAACAAATGCAAGTCTTAATATGGTCGAAGAAAAAGTTGAAAGTACAGATTTCAATGTTGGTATTGTTACATCCAAAATAGCCGATCTTGAAGACAGAAACAAAAAACTCAACGATGACCTTGTTTACATTCAATCTCAATCAAGGAGGAATAACCTAGTATTTACAAACATTGATGAGGCCCCAACGGGAAATAATGAAGACTTAACAAGTGATAAGAATTTTCTGACAGATAAAATGAAAATAGCAAATGATTTAGTTAAAGAAATGGAATTTGAAAGAGTGCACAGAATAGGAAATCATGGTAGAAATGGCAAGCCTAGAAATATCGTCGCCAAATTTAATTTATTTAAAGAGAGGGAACTTGTAAAGAATACCGATTGTTATGTGAACGAACAATTTCCAAAAGAGGTTATCGACAAGAGGAAAGAACTACTGCCAAAATTGAAAGAAACTAGGCAGAAAGGTATTAAAGCATGGCTGTCATATGATACTTTGTACATTGATGGAAAGGCTCAGAAATAGGAACGCGGAGAGGGTGAATTGAGTATTTGTGCATGGAGAATTGAGTATTTGTGCCTTGAATGTAAACGGTTTAACGGAAATAAAAAGGAGTAACCAGGATTTTATTGATTCGATTATTGAACATGACATTATATTTTTATGTGAAACTTGGTGCAACAAAAACAGCAACATCTATATATCAGGCTTTATTTCGCATAACTATTACACAAAATTCAAGCACAGAAGAGCCAAGCGTAGCAGCGGAGGTGTTGCGCTATATTATAGAGATTATTTACAAGGTGTTATTAGTATTGTTAAAAACCATTATAATACTATAATTTGGATTAAGCTAGATAAAAAAAATTCAAGTTTCAAGAAGATGTTTACATATGTTGTGTGTACATATGGTGTGAGGATTCGCCAGCGTATGATGTGCATAATGTTGACCTCTTTGATATTATACAAAATGACATCTGCCCTATTTCTTTCAATATTGATTATAAGTGTAAACTTAGGGAACAAAATGACAATTTTTTTAAATATGTATGGTCCCCCGAACTTAGAGATAGTTTCAGATCGAATCTTATTGGAAAATTACCAGTATGAAACGAATTATGTCATAATGTAGATTTAACTGATCGTTCTGCGATAGACTCTCTTTTATTAGGCTTTAACAATGTGATACAAGAAATTGCGAATCCGTTATTTTGTAGGAATTATAGTATACATAATCAGCCTACATTTATTGATAAATGTATTGTTAAGGATAAGGAGTGGTTTGATAATGATTGTTTACAAGCTAAAAGTTGTATATAAACGCATTAAATAATTTTAAAGTAGATAATAGTGTTGTAAATAGGGAGCAGTTGTGTTTTTATAAAGCTAAATATAAGAATTTGATTAAGAAAAAGAGACGTTTGTTTAAATTGAAAAAAGTTGAAAAAATTGAGAGCTTACGATTTTCTAAGCCGAAAGACTTTTGGAAGTTATTTACATGTAATAATAAGGTAAATCATGACATTTCATTAGATGATTTTTTTTTAAGTATTTTTCAGAATTAGGTTATGATATATTCCAAGCAAGTAACACGGAGTCCGAAGATTTTTCACGCAACAATGATTTTGAAAATTTAAATGGATCGGATGATATTTTATATAAACGTATAACTGTAAATGAAATTTTGGAAGCAATCACAACTTTAAAAACAAATAAATCACCTGGTATTGAGTGCCTGTTAAATGAATATTTTATTGAATGTATTGATATTTTATCCTCGCATATTTGTGATATTTTTAATTATGTACTTGATGGCGGGTATTTCCCAGACACATGGTCTGAAGGTATGGTAATTTCGTTGTATAAAAAAGGTGACAAAAATAATGTTAATAATTAAAGAGGAATTACGTTTGTTAGTTGTCTATCGAAATTATTCACATCTATTTTAAATAAAAGATTAAAATACAATATTGCGCAGAAAACCATGTTTTGTCAGATGCACAATTTTAAGAAGGCTTTCGATTGTATATAGAGAAACGCGCTTTGGTTAAAATTAAGTAATTGTGGGATTAGAGGTAAATTGTTACGCCTAGTAAAAGACATGTATAGTAAAGTAAAATCGTGTGTAAGGATATGTAATAGTTACTCAGAATTCTTTAATTATGCTGTAGGTCTACGTCAAGGGGGGGGAGGGTATTTCACCGATTTTATTTTCCCTCTTTTTATATGACTTTGAATTGTTTTTACAAAGGGATATAAATAGTGGTTTGAATATAAACGATATTGCTTTGATTTTGTTACTGTTCGCTGATGATATGGTCATTTTAGGAAATATACCAGATGATATAAATAGAAGTTCGACGATATTGAATGCTTATTGTAAACAATAAGAAGTAAATATTGATAAAACCAACGTTGTTGTTTTCAGAAGACGTGGAGGTTTGAAAAATAATGAATTATTTTATTACGAATGGAAACATTTAGATATTGTCGATAGCTTCAAATACTTAGGAACAATACTTAGTTATACTGGTAGTGTTTGTTTAAATCAAGAACATTTGATTGGTAAAGCTCATAAAGCTCTAAATGTACTACTGATTAATTGTAATAGATATCAGTTAAAACCTAAAGTGTTATGTCAGCTTTTTGACTCTTTTGTTTGTTCAATTTTAAATTACGCTGCTGAAATATGGGGTTTTACTAAATCAAAGGACATTGAAAGACTTAAATTATGTAAATAAATATTAAATGTAAAAGTTAATTCATGTAATGTTGCTGTGTATGGTGAACTAGCACGTTATCCTTTATATATTTCAAGATATGTTAAGATTTTAGGATTCTGGTTTAAAATGCTTGAGACAGATAATATCATTCTTAAAAATGTATATAGCATTGCTCTTGAAGACTGTAATAATGGTAAGAAAAATTGGTTATCAAATCTTAAATTGTTATTATGTAATCATGGTTTTAGTGAAATTTAGGATTTTCCAGATTTCGTAAATAGTAAAATATTTTTACCAATATTTAAGCAAAGGGTATTTGATTGTTTTTTACAAAGTTGGCTTTCTGGTAAAGAGAGCAGTCCTGTTTTGTATTTGTATAATCATGTTAAAGATTCTTTTGTATATGAAAATTATCTTGATATAATACCAAGTACTTTAAGGAAGTATCTTACAAGAATTAGAATATCTTCGCATTCATTACATGTTGTTAGAAATGAAAGATATTGTTTACGAGATATGATCCTTCAATTACAGTCAAATGTTTACAATTTTTATATGATACCAATCAAAGTTCAGGGGACATAAAAAGTATATAATATTCTTCGTTTCATAACAAAAGTTTCCTACCTTGAACCATTTCAGATTTACCTAGACTATTACATTACTGTATGTAGGAAACTTGTCTACTCTGTCGAGAATTTATATACATGTATATGTGATCCCATTGTGTATATGTACATATGTATCTATACATGGGGCATACATATGTGTGTATGTATATATATGTGTATACATATGGAAGTATGTATACAGGTGCATATATATATATGGTTATGTGTAGATATGTGTATGTATAATGTTTGTCAAGATTTTGGAAGTAATAATATTGTTTATATTGTTCTTTGTACATGTGTCAACTATTTTGTTTATAGTAGAAAGCTGTTTGTAAATACTTGTAATATAATGTTACTATAACTATAAAGTGGAAATAAAGAATATAATAATGTTATGTGTAATATGTATGTATATGCATATATGTAAGCATACAGCTACTTCTCTTAAATAATTTCAATGGTCATACATCAATTTCAATTGCCTCCCTTACAAAGATTATTGTTAGATAATTACTTTTTCTTGCCATTATCTTGGAACTTTTCATTGATACACATGTCCAATGGTGTTTTTTTTTGTATGCTTTATTGGTTTGTTTTTTTTTTCTTATTCCCTGTATTAAAAGTTCCTTAAACTGATTACTCTATTATCACATCCTTTGCTGGATATGGGGTCAGGGACATCTCAAGCGAGGGTGGCTAGTATTGTCCCCAGCACCCTGGGGGCGCCCTGCTTTGGCAGAGAGGAAAAATGCTTGCATTTTACGTTGCCAGGGAGGTGCTCTGGTTGATTTCAGGGCCCTATTTCCAGCCCGGTGGTTATTTAGTTTAAATTTAGTTTATGTTATTATTGTAATCAAAACATGCTGAAAAATGCATTGAGTAATTCATCACAGTGAATGCTTATGGTTTCTGGCACATTTATTATTAAGAAAAGTGAAAAAATATTGATATAAAAAAAATAACACAGTAACATATTTTTGCACGATTCATTTATATTTAACACAACTTTTACTCCTTTTTTTCTTGCTTTTTGCAGTAAGTGTAATTTATTTTTTATATGCCACCATATTACACTATGTTTTTGAGGTCTGTATGTTTGTTTAAAGTGTCCCCTGGTAATATATATTTAACTTAGTCAAGTGTAATTTTTACATCTATTTTAGATATAATGATGTTTTTTTTTGTAAAAATTAGCAATGAGTAATATTAAAATTTTCACTTCAATTGCCGTGGTTTATATGACAGCATCAAGAGGCGTGATGTTTTTAATCTATTTCATACAAAATATGCTGATATACTTTGTCTGCAAGAAACACATTTTATTAAAGATTTTTTTCTTATAACAAAAAAATTATATCAGTTTGTACGTAAATGTGACATTGATGCTAGTTATAGATCTGATCATTCAATGATATATTTGGAGTTTTGTTTTGTTCCTGTTAATCATGGAAAAGGTTTATGAAATTTAATAATGCTCTTTTACATGACATTGAATTCCTTGATATCATTATTAAGAAAATAGATGAAATAAAATTGCAATATTGTTTACCTGTATATAATATAGATTATGTTTTGGATATAAACAATAAAGAGGCTAAAGAAAGAAAAATCCAGCTAGCTTACGGAACGTCGGTGGTTCTACTCCGGTGCCCGTTCGTGCCTGAAATAATACACGGAAGGGCACCTGAGGTCTTCCTCCACCAGTAAAGCTGGAACGTCGCGATATGACCTATACTGTGTCGATGTGACGTAAAAACACAAAACAAACAAACATGTGAAAAAAAATATTTGAAGAAATTATCTTTCTAGAACAAAACTTGACAAATGATAATAAAGACGAACTTCAACATTTACAAAATGAATTGACTCAATTAAGAAACTATAAAATATAGAGTGCTATGATTAGGTCAAGGTCACAATGGATTGAATCTGGAGAAAAACCTTCTAATTACTTTTTAAATTTAGAGAAATCACATTGTTCAGCTAAGACAATACCTTTTCTGGAACTTGATGATGGAACTTTTATTTATGATCAAAATGATATAATTACAGAAACTAGTGCTTATTATGAAAAATTATACAGAAATGTAACTTTGAATGATTGTTATATTGATAGAGAATTGAGAGATTGTGATATTAACATGTTGTCTGATAGTGAATCGCTCAAGCTTGAAGGTCTCCTTTCATA